TTTTATTGTAATAAAAAATTCCTGCGTTCAACATTAAATCTTCTCAAAAGATTGTTAGCATAGCTTGTAGTAGATATAAGGTTATGTAGATTTCTGAATTTATGATTGTATATGAAAATTTTTGAAACCAATTTCATTCTTATGTAGAATATAGTGGAATATAAAACTTTTATTCAAGCATAACGTGATCTATAAGCTAAGTAAATTAATATAATACACACGCTAATAAATCTGCAATGAACCACGTAATATCACTACAGCCTACTTAAAAACCAACTCTCCAATTCCACCGCGACCCTTACTACCTGCAAACTGTTTTAATTCCCCCCCACTGGCTTGCACTTGACCCGGCAGCGTCTCTCGACCTGGATCCGCTTCATAATATAAAGACAGCTTCACTAGCTCAGATCGGACTTTGAGAATAATTTTAATTTGAAACTGGGGTTGGAGGCCGTGTCAAGGATAAGAACACAAGTAACTTTAACATTCAAAGTCTCCATGAAAAATAATAAAACAAGCAGACAATGTCGTATTGTCTTTGCGTCGCTTATGAACCTAGTTTCGTACTCCAAAAGTTAATAACGTGACAAATTAGACTATAGTTTAAATATACTAGACTAATGGTTTATAAAGAGAATTAGTATGTTGTACTTTAGAAACTAATTAAGACAATAATGACAAGTCATTGCTCTAAATTAGAGAATTTGATATCTTTGATAATAATACGAAGGACATTGTGAAATAAAGCACATCTTAGGACTGATATAAATATAATAATAATAATAACACTTTATTGACAACATCACAAATATCTTCATAAACTCATCAAACTAAACAATACATCAAAGTATAACAAATGGCGGTCTTATCGCTGAAAGTGATTTCTACCAGACAACCTTTGGATGGAGGGAAATGTTAATTGCAACGAAACGGGGGTGTAAACTTAGAGTAATTCCAAATAATTAATTGAAGCATAATAATAATAGACACCAGAAGATGACAAATACAAATAATATAATATACTTATGTACATAAAAACATGTAATATATAAACACATAAAATATGATATATACAAATACTTATGAAATGAAGAAGGGGTTCTTAGCAGTTAAAATATATAAAAAACACAAATAATGTTTTTTTACCATTTCTTTGAAATATTTTATTATGGAAGTCGGAAGAGTATTCTAAAGACGCACAGCTTGGACGGTGAAGGAGCCATCATAAAAAATAGTTGTATGGAGAGGGGTTTCAAGTTTCAGGTTTTCCGATGATCTCAAGGAACGTGAAGTACAGCAGTATAGCGGATTGAAGTGTTCTTTTAAATAGCGCGGATAATGGGGGTTAAACAAAATATTGTAAAGGGGGGATAATATATGAGCATTCCGACGAATACGAATTGGAAACCACTTGAGCTGGGTACGAAATTGAGATATATGATCATATTTGCGCAATCCAAATATAAATCGGATACAGAAGTTTTGAAGCCGCTCAAGTTTGTCATATTGAATGCCGATTTTAATGGTATACAAATAGAGTTATTGTGTAATCATATAAGTGTCCAGCTATGTTGAAATTAGCAGGTTAATACGTAGCCTCTGTAAAGGTGTTGCAACCGTACGCCAATCACCGTATAGTTACACATGTCTGACAACTAATCCGAATTAACGAACCGATCGACTGTGGTCAATCACAATTACGAATTTGGGATCGTATGCAATTCGTATCTAGCAGATCGACCGAATGTTTCAATAACTTTGTAAATAGTGGCTGCTGAACGGCGATTTGGGAATAGTCTCATTAGGATTGTTTATTTAGAGATATATCGATTCAAAGAGCTAAAAGAGCGAAGCATTGCAGATAAGTAAAATATACTGCCACAATCACATTGAAATATATATATCTATACCATCAGATGTAAGTTAGTTTTAGAAATTTCGAAATATTCTTGGTATATAGAATTTAATGCATACTATTTGATGACAGAGGATCTGTAAATCCCTTGGGCTCTTTGATGGAAATGTATCCCAGTTAGAATATCGCAAACAGACACACCAAAACTTACTTATTGATACACTACTGAGCTTTGAAAAAATATATAATATCCTTACATATATTAACGATAAAGTTACTATAAAAAGTATATGAAAATCGTTTGATGGACAAAAACAAATGAAATTGTAATTATTAAAAGCATTCAATTGACTGTTGTTTGATCAAGCAAAAATTGGTAACTAATTAAATTCAAGGAAATCTTTCCACAAAACAGTGTAGGTAATTTTTATAAAGGCATGAGGACTCATAAAAGATCTCGATTAAGCAGCTAATAAAATTAATTAGGATCCGAATTGGCTGGCGGGCGTTAGGAGTCGAATCGTATTGGAGGCAAAAACCAAAACGAATTTACCGTTTTCAACGGGCAACGCTGCACTATTGGGGAACCAATTGAAGAACTATTAACGGTAATGGTCGTTTTATATCCATAATAGTGAAATATTATTACTACCATTACTTTGTAAGTGGAGATTTTTTGTTACCTTACACAGACATGATATTTCTCACTTCCTTATATATTTCTGCAAAAAAATGTGATTAATTTTAATTAGCTAAGTAAGATAAAGTAATATTTGAACATTTTAAAAATATGTGCATTAATTTTACTGCATCATTCCCATAAAACGCATTATATATATCTATCTATATCTTTACATAGTATATCTTACGGGGTAGGCAACGCACGGTCCTTACATACATCTTTCGCCTCATTCACATTCATTTTTCTTTTCATATACTCGCCGGTTTTTATGTCTTCTGACATCATCTTCGCATAGCACGCGATTGATTGATCGTGAATGCTGTGTCTTGGCTTTCTTCGGCTTCTGTATCCCTCCACATTCACTCTGTATATCATTTGTTTTTCTCTTAACCGGATTTTTTTCAAAATTTCCGAGCGTACATATTTATGTTGATTCTTTCAGGTCACCTCTCTTTTTTATCACTTCGTGGCACCACTATTATATTTTGTGTCTATCTATTAATATTATAAAAACTATATGCTTGATATAGTTTTTTGTTCTTCTTTATAAAATCAAGATTCATTATCGATTAATTAATTAAAACAGCTGATATATTGATAATTTATTAATATTTCGTATTTCCTAGGACATTCTTACTTAGCACACAAACTTTTATCATATGGTTTTGTTTATAATATAAATACGCTAGGAAAAGCATTCTCGAAATTGAGAAAATATTTAGATAGAAATATATCTATCTATATTCGCTACTAAGATAGCAAAACTATTTGACTAACCAGATCTAATCACCAGCCCTTTTATGTCTCCACTGCAGGGGCTCAGGCCTTCCTTATGGATGGTTAAGGAGGATGGGCCATGACCCTCCACGCTGGTCCAATGTGGATTGGAGGGTATTAACGACTGCAAATGCAGCCGGGACCAACGGCTTAACGTGCCTTCCGAGGCACGGAGTAGCTCGAGATAATAATTTTTTGGTCACCCATCCCGTGACCGACCCTTGCGAAAGTTGCTTAACGACTACGATCGCGGGCCGCGGCGCTTATCCACTACGCCACCGAGTTCTCAGAAAATATTTCATATAATAATGTAATGCTGGTTGCATTGACCCTCAATTCGAATAACAATATCAAAAGAATTGTCTCTGGGGATGAGACGTGGATTTATCAATGTCTCCGGAAAGTAAAAGTGAGCCCCATTATTGTGGCACAAAAAGGTTTGAATCCAGTAAAAGTTACTTCATGCGTCATAAAAATCATAGCCTCGATGTCCTGGCATTCTTAGGAAGTTTTATATAATAATGTACTTCTACGTGTATGTTATATATTATAGTTTATATAAGGATAATGCATGTAATTCCACGTTGCCGTATATGGCATGTCATTAAATAAGGTAAAGGTTTTCGATATAATCGAGGCGTCTTTTAATATTGCTCGTTTAAAAACAAAACGAAATAATGATTACATTAAAAATTTATGGTCTGTTCCAAAAAAGTGATGTGAGTGGGTTTTTTTTTAGATTTTGAATGTAATGCAAACAACACATATTTGAAGTTACGGAAGGTTGAATATAATTAAAATGGAAAATGAATATAAAATTAAAGGCAACAAATTTTCATGAAAAACCCACATTCAATAAGATTTTGCACTTTTTTATCTAAAATATCTTTCACTATTTTTATCAAAAAAAGCACTAAGTTTCTTCTGTCGCCGGGCTGATTAATAACTAGGAGTGGAGTCGTGGCGACTTTTCATATGATTTACCGATGTTGCTAGTTAGTTTGTTGTTTTGCGGAAAAGGAAATGACGCAGAGTTTTCGGTGACGCCGTAGCCGGAGGTCGATTATAGAAAGTATTTAATAAGATTACAGGAAAATGATATTGGGCTGCCGTGACCGGCGCTACAGATGTTATGTAAGTGATTTGAATACGCTCTGATGTTGAAGTAAGATTAATATTGCTTGTAGAGAAATTATACCATGAAAGTAATAGATACATACACAAGTAGATAAAATTCTAAACTTGATGTCAATATCTTTTTAACTGTGTTATTTGTGGTAATCTAAGTTTCTGTTTATTTGCAGACAATTTAATAAGTGTGATAAACATGCTCGGATATGTGGAAAGAAAAGTCAAAATTGAATAAGTATTTGTTTGTATAAATGTCTGACGAGATTGGGGAAGGCCAACACCTTTCATGATCAAATTAATCGTTTGAAATCGGGCGGTGATATAAGCAGTCAAAACACCGGTGAGTATCTGTAAAAGGAATTATGAATGTCAGGAAAAGGAAATGAGCGACAAATGAAAATGGACTATAAAAACCATCGGCATACCGGCATGCAGTTTAATTCATAAAAGTGAGATCGTGTGATAATGAAATGATAAAAACATTGATGCACTAGATTAGTTAGGGAATAGAAACAGGACGATATTACTGAATAGATCAATGATAATATAACTCACATGGTCCCAGGGTCGTCACCGAGCGGCTGCTCGACGAAGCTGACGTGCTTGGTCCGCCTGTTCTTTGGGCGAAACTCCAGTTTGTTGGCGCAGCCCTTGTTCGCCTTCGTGCGCGCCTCGAAGATCACATGTGGGTGCTTCTGCTGAAACGAACCGGAAAACGCGTGTGCTTGTTAATTTAACATGTTCCAAATGCCACTATTCTATACTAATATTATGAAGAGGAAAGATTTGTTTGTTTGTTTGCATTGAATTGATTCCAAAACAACTGGACTGATTTTATAATTATTCATCTACGGGAAGCTATATCATCGCGGGTGACATCGGGGGAAAGCAGGTAGTCATATTTAAAATAATGCTGTACGTGATAAATTTTATTTTTAAACGATAAATTTAAATGTGCTTCTATACAAGCTGTTTCAAATTCATATTACGCCATTTATCCAGATTAGGAATATCAAAATCTAGACGGCCACGTGAACACACGCTTGTGTGAAAACACTGTTTTGTCGGGAGTAAAGAAAAATATAGTTGTTAGTTCAAAATCACTTGTAATTACGAAAACAATATGTGCATATAAATTTAATGACAACATTTAATCGGACTGAGTAATTATTCAGAATTACATAGTTTGTATAGTAATAGGTATACTGGGATGTTTTGTACCTATTCATAATTCACGGAATTATACTTATTTTTTTTGTATATTATATTTTATTTTAGACTACTCGCTAAGTTGTCAGTTATAAGATTGTGACAAAGACAGTTTATTATATTAGTAGATTATTTCACTAATCCTATATCTAGTTCAATTCAGAGCCTTTATTCAAGACGGTCCAGACTTAATGCTCATGTAATTGGAACTGACATTTCGAAAAAGCGGGGTGTAACAGTAGCCTGATACAAATACGAAATAAAATGGAATTCGATATAAGCCTGGAATATTTTTAATCAAGTTTGTGTGCCAATTACAAGAGACTATATTTAAGAATCCATCTTATTTTTAGCTACGGAAGGTATAAAAAAAAACATCAAGTCAAAAACCTTCATTTCCTTCACGCAAAATTACTAACACGACTTTTTTCACAAATTTTGGTTTTATTTATCATAACGACAATGAAAATTACTGAATACAACTAAAATATGTACAGGAAATAAATATTTTTTTTTGTAGTAGTAGTTTAATATGATAAAACTTTTATTAAAAGTATTGATGATATTTAGTAGAATATGTGTTTAACTCAAAAGTCTGCCGCATATATTTCGTGTGATATTTTTGCTTCATAAATAATTATAAGGGTATGCAATATTCCCTTGGAAATTTTCATTGAATTCAAAACAAAATATACTTAACGTAATATAGTAATATCGATTGAAGTAGTAATTCATTGTTAACAGAATTTTTTTACAAATATTTTTTTAATATTTATTGTCCGTGTTCTTATAAAAATATGAGATTTCAAATATAATATTAGGAAAATTTATGTATTTCATGGAAGTAATATAAGTAACAGCGCGAAAATACGTAGAAGTCACTTTATATGTATTTTGCTTGTCATGCCATTGAGAAATTAAAGGAATTTAATTTTTTTACTAATAATCCGAAAGAAAATGTCGATTCATATATTAAAAAGGAAATATATGATACCCTCATAATAAAAAAAAACAGCTGTTACGTTTTAATGTTTGATCTCCATACTGAAAGTTGTTTTACCTGGTTCTACCATTATTACAATGTTTGATTGCGTGACTTCGAATTAAAGCATAGCCTAAATTACACAGAGACGCATTAAGAACAAATTAATAATATCACCCTAAAAAGATTTAAAATAAGTGACAACATTTGTGTGAAAATTCTTTGTTTTTGAAATTTTAGTAATGAAAAAATATTTTGGTTTTGGAAAATTAAATAGCCACGCATATAGCCACAAACAACGTTTATACCTATAGATATTAACCGAGCAGAAAATCGATCACGGTCCGTGTCTGTTAGAATCTATGTATGTGCTATGTATGTCAACGAAATTACAGACCGATTTCTAAGTATATAATCCCGATAATAATATCAGTTCGTTAAAAAATTTAATAATACATTCACTGTTCCATGAATTTGCGTCTCGAAACTTTCTTATTGTAGTTACGAATGAATTATCCTCGTTTATCGTTTTCCATAGAAAATATTTCGAGTCGGGAATATTCTTAGCCAATTGTCAAATATCATAGTGCTATTTGGGATTGTTAAATTCAACAGTTCATAACTTTGGCAAATCTCTATTTATAACTTTCGTTTTTATGTATTTCGACTAAGACAAGATTAAAGAAGAATCGTATTCCAAAGAACCATTTGTATACTACAAAACAAGCTGTTTGAAATAGACATATGCAAACTCAAAAATATTTTCAAAATTTAAATGGTCGTATGAACAGATCGTATGGTAGCTCGGTAGCGTAGTGGATAAGCACCGCGACCCGCGATCGTTGTTGTTCAGCAACTTTCGCTATGGTTGGTCACAGGATGGGTGACCAAAAAATTATTATCTCGAGCTACTCCGTGCTTCGGAAGGCACGTTAAGCCGTTGGTCCATTTGCTGTATTTGCAGTCGTCAATACCCTCCAATCCGCATTGGTCCAGCGTGGAGGGTCATGGCCCATCCTCCTTTGCCATCCATAAGGAAGGCCTGAGCCCCTGCAGTGGGGACGTAAAAAGGGCTGGTGATAGCGGTAGGCAGACATAGGAACGCAGCGCGGCCCCCTGATCTGTACCCCTGAGATAAAAAAAAGATTGAAAATGTATCAATATATCGTTATTTATTTAAAATAACTTGAAATTAGATTAACAGAATACTCGTGTAAATAACAGCAATATTCTATTACATTAGTCAATACTTGTACTATGCTTTTGTTAGATTATTGATCACATTTTTTCAGGGGTTTTTTTTTAGCATGTCCAGTAAGATACATAGAAATTTTTAATAAGTTTTATTATAAAATGGTGTTACTAAGCGTATTCAAATACTTTAGTTGATGACTAAACGAACTTACCTGAAGTTCAATCATAATTATACGAAAATCTATGTCTGAAGAGATTAGTTTATACGAATAAGACGACATATATTTGTATTGTTACAGTTATAACAGTTTATATTTTATTTAATGGTGGCTATAGATGTCGGAACATGTCAGCAAACTTTCTAGAGTTTTTTTTTAAAACAGAACACATTTAATTATTTTCTCAAACAGTGGCTACATAAAGTAGGCAAAGTAGAAAAAAAAAACACCTAAGTAACTTAAATATTTCGATAACGATGTACAAGTACAGAGAGTTACTCGTGCGGATCATTTACTTCAGCTCATTTAACTTCTCAGGCAACTCTTAATAAAATCACAATTTCTATTAGTTTGTTAAAGCGGACTTGGTGAGTTGAATTTTAATAAAGTTATTTTCAACACAATTTGAACAATTAAAACGATTCTAATTGGATTTTCAGATGAATATTGTGGTTGGTAAGTGTCAGAATTGTTTGTAGACAGTTTGATCGGCATTGTCGCGCCGAGGATGCCCTAGACGACCTTCAGAAGTCACCAAAATCCGCCTGTTACTTAATTAAGCTAAATAGGAGTACGATGGAGAGGAGCTTGGAGGGCAATCATGGAGTTACTACTTTTCAATTATATCTTTATTGATACATGATTTTGGAGAGGCGCATGAAGTCAATATATTTGCTATTATAGGTTTACTTGTTATTTTTAAATGAACATTCAAAGACACGCGTACAGCTTGTCGTACGAATTAACGTGATAATTGTATCTATTGTCTATTTTCGTCACTATTCTATTTATTCCTCGAACGAAAATTCAAAAAATCGTCAACTCTTACCTTCATTGAATCATAAACTATCAAAAAATGGGTTTCTTTGGAGTAGTATTAAAATTTCGAAAATATAATAGGCTTTCAGGTGTCATGTTAATTTGTACAAGTAAATGTTATTTTTTTTAAAATACATATTTCGGTTTTTATTCAACATTTTTTCCCTAGTACCCGTTCGGGTCGTCTTTTGGCTGCTAAGGAGAACGACTAGTTATGTATATTAGTGATGGCATTAAAACAAAGAGAAAACGAAAACGAGACGCAATCTATCAACGAGATAGATAAGGACAGAAGTCGAAGGATGAATTTGATTTTCTATTAATTATTCGGAATTGGTATTTTGGTATCAATTCCAACCCGCGCCTACAAAATGAGTGGAGTATTTTTTGTGTAATAAAAGAGACAAAATGGCGAAGTCTAGAGATGATTTTGTAGTTTTGATTTTTTTTTCACAAAACAACGCTTTGACATATTTCAAGATATAATAAAGGTAAGTAGTGTTCTCATTTTTAAAAAGAGCTTATTTCGCCTTTGTTTGTTTAACTGATAGCAATTGATTTTTAATACCTTATAACAATAGTAAATGTACATAAGTCGTCATCATCTCCAGTCTATTACTGTCCCCACTGCTGGAGTACAGGCTTTCTCTGTGGATAGAAATCGAATAGGGAGAATGGTCCATGGTCCACCACGTGGGTCCAGTGCGTGTTGATGGGTGTTAACGTCTACAGATGCAGTTGGGACTCGGCTCGAGACATTAAATTTTTGGTCACCCATCCCCTGACCGGCTTGTGATAGTTGCAAATATAATTGTCTGGGAACGTTGTATAGTGTATAAGTAATTGAATTATGAATACTAGAGACTCCGATTATAGCTTTGATGTTGACTGTAGTCAATCGTGTATGTCATTGTATAATGTATATTCTATGAAGCGAGAACATTAGAACCCGCTGGGGAGCCATCAGAACGTATTAGAAGCCAAATTGTGGTTAACAGCATTAACAGCTCAGAGGGGAGTTACCATGAATTAGCCGGGATAAAAGGCTGTCACGTGGAACGTTTATAGCCACTGCATATTAGAAGTAAACACAACTTGATCATGTGTTTTCTTACCAGACAAGTTTGTCTATTCATGTTCTTAAAGGGGAACAATAACGAGTGTTGAAACTTAAGATTTCCTAACAGGCTTAGTTAAATTTAACTGTATGTATAGAAAAATTCAGTCTGAAGCTTTACTCTTATTAAAAATAGATAAAGAAATTATTAAATTA